GGCAAAAATAATTTTCTCACCCCCTAAATATGGATCATCGCAGATACAAAAAATACGTGTCGAATATTTTTCCACGAACTATATTATCAGAGTTGTTTACGAGTGATTTATTCAATATATGCGTCACTTGCGACAAATGAGCCGTTTATTTCGAAAGTAGCATAAGTCACTTTGTTTTTAAGTCGATATATTGTTTTAACACGTTTAAAAATATGGATGCTAACTTTCGAGAAGATTCACTTGTATTTGTTACCCCAATATAAACATTAAAATTTAAGTAGTATAAACATTGTATTTGTTACCCCAGTATAAACATTAAAATTCAAGTAGTATAAACATTGTATTTGTTATCTCCGTATAAACATTAAAAAATCACCACTTTTCATCACGGTAAAGTGACTTACGCCACTTTCAAAATAAACGGCTCAGATATTCCAATAACACACGTTAAAAATTCAGAATAAACGTCCCATCGTTAATTTTATAAGCCAATATAAAACAGCCGTTTTCAGTGCTCCGTAAATCTAGCGAAACGCTCCCCTGTTAATTGAAACATTTTTACCCGGGTCTGCATCCCGTTATTCCCCATTTACCCCAATTCGAACCCGCATGAAACGCGCGAGGATTCTACGGAAACAGTGCCCCTCGGCGACATCCACTGGCCTGCAGGCCCGCGGACAGTCCACGGTTGCCCGTGGACGATCAAGCGAGAGTGTTTCCGCCGCGGCATAAGGGAGCCAATAAGTAGCGAAAAGCTCCAGTCGGACGTACGAACGGCTGTCAGCCGTTTCCGTTTAAAGACCGTCAAACGGGCCAAGGGAAAATTGACGTGGAAGCATATTATCGCGTGCGCGCGTGTGTGCCAGACGGTCCAGACGGAACGGGGATTGAAACGGATGTGAATGAAGGATGCGCTGCGTCGAAAGAGACGGGACGACGCGCTCCGGGGAAGGATCAGCTGACAGAGAGTGGGTCGACGACGACGACGACGACGAGGAGGAGGACGACGGACTTGGATAAACGCGTGCGAAAAATTAATCGGCGCGCGGCGCGGCCGGTATCGACGGATAGCAGATTTCTGTGGGGGTCGATGCTCGGCGGGGCTCGCGGAAGGTCACGTGACAGTATTTGTTTCGAATCGTGCGAGACGGTGCCGCGGCACCGTGACAATCGTCGCACTCCTACGTTTCCGTACTTTATGCTCTCGTGCTCGAAATGAGAAAATAACTGCTGGCGTTAATTACGTTTGCATCGTTTGGTCGATGGCTCGCGAGTCGGTGCAACCCATCGTCTCGCGCGATGTCTTAAAACGATAAAGAATCTCCCGAAATGAGAATACGACCGTGGCAGCAGTTTTTCGGGGGCTCTCTCGCGGTGGCTGTGCACGCACGATCAATGCATGAATGGGAGAGTCGCGGGACACAGGCAGGCGAGCGAGGAGCACGCACGCGAAACGCCGGTGTGTGTACGTACGCGTGAGGACACGCACGTACACACAGACGGCCCGCTGACGACGAACGGGAGACGTCGCGAGGCGACGGAAACTGGCGAGAGCAGCATCGCCGCGGTGAGCCGTCCGAAGACGCTCGTTAAAATCATTGACACACAAGGGCTTCCGGTGCACTGCGGGCCGGCGGTGTTCGGTGCGGTGTTTCGCGCCGGTACCACCGCACCGTGGTCTAGGCGCCCCGTCTGTCAACAAGGATCACGGCTGCCCGTCGCGCTGGATCACCGTCTGCGATAATGATCGGTCCACGAGCGATCGCGCACCGCGAGCCGCCGGTTGACAGATCGGAGCGGGCTCTCGGATAGCAGCGTGCCAGCGCGCGCGTTAATCCGCGAGAGTAACGAAAAACGTGCGAACGAGCCTACGAGCACTCACCGACGCCGTATTTCGTTGTTTTCGTGGTCGTCCACATCTCGAGCGGCCCGACGACGGCGCTACATGCCTTGCCAAACGGCCACGAACCACTCTCTCTCTCTCCGTATCACGAAAAATTCGAAAACACAAACATTGGGTGTGTGTTGCCGCACAAGTGCCACCCTTGCGGCTCGCTCTCTTTCTCTCTGTCTGTGCTGCGCGGCGAGCAACGTTGCCGATGGCCACGACGAGCCGCGGACGACTGCCGGCAACGCCGCCGCTTCTGCGCCGGTCACGTGCGGCTCAGGAGCGTACCCGTTCGGGGACCGGGCCCCCTAAAATCGTATTTCTGACAAATAGATATTGTCGTCCGGATTTATGTTATTTTCCTTTCATGGATTTTATGCATTTATGGCGGTCCTTCGATTGATCTTGAGGATTGAAAGAATTTGAAAATGTCATTGTATTATTTTGGAATTAATCAAATTATTGGAAAGAGATCTTTTGGAAAAGAATTTTTGTTCGATTTCTAACTCGTGCAATTGATGTGGGCAATTTTTATTTCGTATAAAGATCCGCAGTCTAGTTGTTATTTATTGACATTAGTAGAAATGCTATCGATAAGAGTTTAAGTTTCATGGGGTCGTGTTCCGATGGATTTTCTTAGCGAAGCACCTGTGGAAATCGATTATACTTTTTCATGCGTTTTTCGAGTAAATCATAAATTATTTATTCTTTACATGAAACGTGCAATATTCTCCCGTTCCTTTGTTCATTCAAAAAGGTATCACATAGGCCTTGAATATGAATAATATTAATTAATGCCGACACGTTCATTATTAAACGGCGTATGGATTTCTGACAAAGTCGAATAGAATATCGTATGTGCTGATAAATTTTATTTTGCATAAAGATACGTGGTTTAATTATAATTTTATCGCTCTTAATGTATTTAATTTAAATATAAATTTCTATTTTAATCAAAATAATCAATTGTGGATTAACGGAAAACAGGGCTTTTATTTGATCAAATGTATTTAAGTCAAATACACCAAAACGTTTCGTTCTTTTTCTGAATATCATAATTTCGATACGACAAATTCTTTCATTTAGAGAAGCAAATAAAATTATTAAGTAGTTTACGTCGAGGTTACATTTCCTTAACTCCAAGGTCACCGGTTGCTCGGTACCAGAATTGGTGCAACGTGTCCAATAAAATCGGTCAAGGGAATACGGGTGACGTAACAATAGAAAAAAAAAGTTATCTTCCCGAGTGAGGAATTATTTCGGTAGCACGATAGACAACGCGCTCGTAAAATACGAGGCATCGTTCTCGGACGCTTATGTAACGATTTACGAATTTATTCATAATAAATACAATAAGACAAGAAACGGAGGTAAATCTAATATATAAAAGGAGCAGTATTTTCGTACATCCTTTCACAGTTTTATTTACAACTTGTTCGTTCATATGTGGATAAACGCGCTAGACGTGGCAGCGCGACGTGACGTTTGGAGCGTAGACTAGATAAAAGGCTACGACGAGTCGAAGTATAGAGCAGCAGCTCTCCGAATAATTGTTTTTACACAAGGCGCTTAGAAATTGATGGGCTTGCCGAAATACGCAGCGAGATGCGCTTCCTTCAGAGCTTCGGCGCATGTCTGGAAAATCAGTGGACGTTAGAAATATTCAGAACAATTGACATTCATTATAGAACTTTGCGCTTGTGCTTACCGGATGTGCGTGACATGTCCTTGCAACGTCCTCTGCGCTTGCTCCGTATTCCATGGCGAGTACAGCTTCGTTAACAAGTTCACCGGCCACCGAACCAATCATGTGAACGCCTAATATTTTATCCGTAGTGCTATCGGCTAATACTTTCACGAAACCATCCGTGTCCAGGTTTGTCTTCGCCCTGGAGTTCGCCATGTGTGGGAATTTGCCAATTTTGTATGCGATGCCCTCCTTTTTCAAGTCCTCCTCCGATTTACCTACCCAACCGACCTCGGGATGCGTGTATATTACACTGGGTACACAATTATAATCGATGTGGACGGCACCTGAATACAGTCGATACGATTAGTATTATTTTGCAAATCATGATCATTGCAGTTTTGCAATTATTACCTCCGGCAATGCCTTCGACAGTGATGACTCCTTCGTCCTCGGCTTTGTGTGCCAACATCGGTCCGTGAATGCAGTCACCGATGGCGAATATCCTACGGTCATTTCGATTAGTTTCAGTGCCGTAAGAAGAACTAATTTTATAGGAGTTCAAGTACTCACGAAGGTACAACTGTTTGGAATCTGCTATTTACAGGGATCCTGCCCTTCTCGTCCCTCTCAATTCCCATATCCTCGAGCCCTAAATTATTGGTATACGGTCTCCTACCAACGCAAACTAAAAGTACGTCGCACGGGATATCCTCCTTTTTGCTGGGGTCCTTTGCATCTTCGACGGAAACTACGACTTCGCTGCCGCTGCGCTTGGCAGCGGTTACTTTGGTACCCAATTTGAAGGCTAAACCTTGTTTTGCGAGAATCTTCTGTAACGAACTGCTGACTTCACCGTCGATACCCGCTCCACCGATGGATGGCATGAATTCCACTGCGGTTACGTGCGAGCCCAACCTATGCGGTGAATGAAAGGATTAAAGATGTAACTTTTCGTGCAGTTAAGAAAATATACCTCTGCCAAACAGATCCTAATTCTAGACCGATGACTCCAGCACCGATTACAATAAGCCTCTTGGGCACCTGTTCTAACGACAAAGCACCGGTGGAAGAGACGACTTGTTTCTCATCGATTTCTACACCAGGGAATGGAGTGACTTCGCTGCCTGTTGCAATGATAATGTTCTTGGTATTGATAGTGCTTGCGACAGAGCCATCCGGATTAAGGGCAGTGACCTGATTTTGACCAGTGATCTTCCCATGACCTTTTACCCATTCGACTTTGTTTTTTTTAAATAAACCGGCAATTCCACCAGTTAAAGCTTTCACTACATTGCGTTTCTGTTCCATCAGCTTCTCGAGATTCAGTTTCACGTTTTCCACTGAAGTAGAAACAGTAATTATTATTGGTAATAACAATAGAATATTATGATGAAACAACAGGAAACCTACCAACAATACCACGATTGTTCAAGTCCCCGCTGTGTGCCATATGATAGTAATGTGAATTGTTTAAAAGAGACTTCGACGGAATACATCCAACATTCAGACAAGTTCCACCAAGCGTTTCACCCTTCTCCACGCAGACTGTTTTCATTCCTAATTGGGCAGCTTTGATCGACGCCACGTAACCACCGGGTCCTCCACCTATTACCACTACATCTGCGTCCAAGGTGCTGGCGTACCTGCGCTGCTGTGCAGCTGTCAAGCCTGGTACAACACGCTTGACGCATACTGGCTGGAGAGCAGAGAAATACAAAGAACGAGCCAATTAATCGAGATAATCTCGAACGCTTCTACTTTCTGTTGTATATACTATGTACAATGAAAGATGAAAATGAAGGTGACATAACCTTTTGATGCGTAATATTAATCGAGCTTTTATGCGTAACAATGAATTTAAGGAGTTGCTTTGAGCTGCTGCAACGTTCGACGACGATCGTAACAAGCTGATAAGATTACGCGAGACGAGATTCACCAGCTGTTTCAGGGTAATACGGAGCAAAATCGTTTGTCCTTCAAAATGTTACGAAATAGACTCCAAAATGAATGGCAAAGAACGGCATGATGATAAATGGGTGAGGGCACTAATCGGTGCACATTATTTTTTAGAACTCACCCTGACAGTAGTGGTCACCAAGTTCCAAAAATTCGCTTGCATCATATTTCTTCTAACGAGCTTTACTTTCCGATATAGAGGGGGTCACGAAAGGGAACGAGTCCACGGCAGTGTTAAAGCCAGCACTACCGGTTATTTCAATATCATCCGACTCGTCCGAGCCTTGATAAACTTGATATATCGTCGGTCACGTAATTTAGAGGTCCGACTGCTCGATGGCGCTAGTAACTCGTTATGCAACGCGAATCTAAGTCCGCATACTTGTTACTCGTTCGTATCGGTAGAGTTAAAAGAAAGGATGTATTTAACCCCTTGACATACCGTCTTCTTCGCAGTTACTGTAATTAGAAATTTTTCGATTGCAATAATTTCTTAGAAGGGAAAGAAAATCGATGCTTATCGTGTGCCTAAATTTACTCGGATGCTTAAATATTGATGACAAGAGATCAGAATTTTATTCCAATTTTAATGGACAGAATAACATCTATACTTAATTAATTATTATCAGAANTAATCGGTGCACATTATTTTTTAGAACTCACCCTGACAGTAGTGGTCACCAAGTTCCAAAAATTCGCTTGCATCATATTTCTTCTAACGAGCTTTACTTTCCGATATAGAGGGGGTCACGAAAGGGAACGAGTCCACGGCAGTGTTAAAGCCAGCACTACCGGTTATTTCAATATCATCCGACTCGTCCGAGCCTTGATAAACTTGATATATCGTCGGTCACGTAATTTAGAGGTCCGACTGCTCGATGGCGCTAGTAACTCGTTATGCAACGCGAATCTAAGTCCGCATACTTGTTACTCGTTCGTATCGGTAGAGTTAAAAGAAAGGATGTATTTAACCCCTTGACATACCGTCTTCTTCGCAGTTACTGTAATTAGAAATTTTTCGATTGCAATAATTTCTTAGAAGGGAAAGAAAATCGATGCTTATCGTGTGCCTAAATTTACTCGGATGCTTAAATATTGATGACAAGAGATCAGAATTTTATTCCAATTTTAATGGACAGAATAACATCTATACTTAATTAATTATTATCAGAAATTTTCATGACGAGTCGGACTCGTCAAAATACGGCAAGGGGTTAAAAATCATCAAGCAGTCGAGGCAATGTTTCTTTCGTTTAAAAAGTTTCTTTTAACCCATTGAGCCAGATAATTTAATTTTAACAAAATAAAACTAAAATATCTCTGTTTTCATTTAACACATTTATATAAACGCGAACACTATTTCATTTGTGATAGAACAGACTGATAAGATAATGCTAACATTAAATAAAAATTGAAAAATATACGATGAAATTAAGAAAAATATTTTTAATATAATCGATATTATTGTAAACAAAATTCACAAACTATTTCGATACGTTTTTAATATTTATTATTCATTATAGCTATGAGAACACTATTTTAGATAGCAAAAAAGGCAATGTGTTAATATCATAATAATTTTTCTTAACAGATAGAATAAATTTATACGGTTTTTAAGCATTTAAATGAAGTTCGTGTTTGGCACAGAATATTTAATGACTAGTTGAAATTAACGACCTTTTGAACCGATCTACGATCATCGTCGATCAAAGTGATTATTTAACCATGATATGGGTTCATAATTATTTACCCATTAGTAATTATTCATATCAGTAATTATTATCATATAGTATTATATCATATTGTAATTATTATATTAATTATTATTGTATTATTATAGTATCATATCATATAGTAATTATTATATTAATTATTATTGTATTATTATAGTATTATATCATATAGTAATTATTTACCCATTAACTGAGCGATCAAATTAAAAGTTTTAACGTAATCGAATCTGATATAATCGCATAGGAAATAAATTCCGAAATCCGTTTCCTAAGATTGCGCGCTTCTGCATTCGCAATGCACGCGCGTTACAGTACAAAGTCTTTTTTATAGTCGCACAATTTAATAGCTTCCACGGTTTACGCTCATCTTTTATTAAAGGAAACTGTTAAGTGGCTTTTTTCGTGCGTTTTTACAATCTGCATTTTTACAAGAAACGTGATTACGTAAAATGTACAAGTAAGACCAGTCGTGTCTAAGCGTGGAACCATAAAGTCCCGCTGAATCTCTTGTCTCCAGCCATAAAATCTCATCTGGAAGCGATGAAAAATGCCGGAAGACGCGACTTTGGAATTGTTTCCTGTCATTACCGGACTGCGAAGATGACGCGTTTGCAGCCTATAAAAAATACCATCGGCGGATAATTACATTTGCCTGCTCGATACGGAAAATTAAATGTCCTTAAAGAGTGAAAGAATCGGCATAAATGTAGGCAGATTTTCATAAAAGCAGTCGATTCAATGATTGATATATGCACGAAGCCTTAGACATTATTTCAAGTATTATTTCAAATAACATGTTATTTCATTCTATAAATTTGTTATTTTATTCTATATTCTATAGTTACTTTTACGCTTTTTTGTGATTTTTTTTAATATAACATTATTTCAAAATATTATTTCGAATCACATGTTGCTCTAATTCATAATTATTTGAAATAATTATTTGAAGTTAAATTTAATGTTTGGAGCTGGTTTACAGTTTTTTGCTTTAAACAAATTAATTATTAGTGTCAACATTATTCCTCTCTTTTGGCCAGCTTGACATAAAGACATCAGACAGCTCTGAACTCAAATTTCTCAATTCAAGAACATTCGAAGATCATTATACATACATATGTATAGCAGTTCTTAGAATTCGCCTAGGACACGAACTACAATGATACGTGGTAAAGTATATGCGATGCCATTAAATAAAAAATCAAGGTTTTTAACCCTTTCAGTGCCATGCGAAAAAGAAGTGCCTATGCGAGAATAACCGGCCGAATTTCACGGTTTTACTAGGGTTTGGGAAAATGCTCATAAAAACCAAACAAGAAGCAATATTTACATGATTCAAAAAGCAGTAAATTAAGGACGAAATAGAGAACAAAACAATGACACTAGATTTTCTATATTCATGGAAAATTATATAAATAACAAAGGTATAAAAGATCATAAAGAAAGTAAAAGTCCAGTTCTCTCTCTTACAAAACGTATTCGCGCATACAAAAAGTCATCTTTTCATCATAATTTTATATAGATCATTTATTACAAAGTATACACTTTGCATTTCTGATATATTTTGTAACAAGATAAATAATATTACATAACAAACATAAAAAAATAACTCGAAGGTACATGGTAAGCGCCGGACGGATTATCTCTTCCGATTTGTCATAAATATATTTATGATAAAATTTTGCATAATACTTCATTATAATAACATAAATATTTATATTTATATTTATATATTGTAAATGTGTAAAATTTTGTTATTATATAAAGCGCTATAATTCTCTAATATTCTAATATTCTATATAGAATATTAGAGATAATTATATATAATATATATTATATATAATAATTATATTATATATAATTCTAATATTCTCGCCAGTGCAGCAAGAGCCGATATATCGGCCTCCGGCACTAAAAGGGTTAAAAGAAAACTCAAGATTTTTCTCAGATCAACACGAGTGCTCGAGAAAATGCGAGGAAGCACGGAGAACAATAATAAAAATGTCCGCCATCTCGCGGACGTACGAACGAATATCTGTCGTCGAGTAGTTCGCGATCGATCGATGCACGAGCATTTAACAGTGGTCGATACGAGGGACTTCTGTTGTAACGTACCATTCGAAACCAACCTAACCCTGGCAGTTTCAAATAAATCTTTGATCCGAGGTAATTTATGCTCGAAATTAATGCGGCAAACATCGGTGGCACGAGGGGGAAATAGTAAAAAGCATGCTGGAGGTCAGGAGAAGGGGTTGAAAAATGGGAAGAAAGGAGAGAGAGGGCGAGAGAGAGAGGGAGAGAGAGAGAGAGAGAGAGAGAGAGAGAGAGAGAGAGAGAGAAAAGTAGGGTACATTAGGGGTCGAGGAAAAAGGGCAACAGATGTCCTTCCGTATGACGCATGAGTCGTTTCGTTTGGCCCTTGGCGAGATAGTACCGTTCGCGTCTCTCTACCTCGCGGAAGTGTCGTGCGTTGTGAAACGAGGCCTGGTTCTCTCCTTAGGAGGCACACTTGTTCCAAACCGGTTAGTATATATCGGCCCTGTCGACCGAACTGATCACGGCCTCGATGGCCGCAGATGCCCCGAAACTCCACGGAACGTCCTCTCCGACGGTTTATCTTTCGAGCTCGCGTTCATGACCACGTTTCTCATGCAGGACCAAGTTTGTAATCTCGTTATCGATAGCGCGTTGTCATTGGCCGAATTTGAATCGACGAGTGCCAGCTCGTTACCCAAGTACACTCGTCGCGGAAAGTACGTCGACGTCATGTAATACGACTTGTTCGACGTAATATTCGGACGCGTAAGAGCAATTCAATATTCGGATTGGAGGAAAATGATTTTTTGGACCAGTCAGTAATTTCAGTTATGTTTCAACAAACGACGTAAATATAAACACTGGAGGAGTGTGGTTATTGCGACCATCTGGATAGAAATATTTTAGATGATAACAAATCGATGCTGAAGGATGCGAACTTTGGAACAAACGGATAGCGATATTAACAAATTTACAAAAAAATAAAGCTTGGTGACGTCGTAACAATGTTTTACATGTAGAGTTCGGATTCATCTTACCTTCTGCTGGTACCGATAACGCATTTATTTTGTACAAATACGATTCCATTTAATCTTGTAACATATGTTTTGTAATAAAAGAACCTTCGAAACCGTTTTCGTTATTTATCTTCGTGCTAAGGCAAAAGTAACTATTATGGAACGCTTTTCAGGGGCTGTTATCATCGATTTGATCACAATTGATTTTATCACTGATGTTTTCCGCCGACTTTGAAATATTTATTCAATATGAATGAAAAAGAATACGAGTAAACTAGTAGAGTGCGTGTATGTACCCTAAATCGGGACAATGAGAAAATTGAAGTACACAACATGGAAGAAGCGAACTTGTGTAAACATATTTTTACGGCTGTTTGTTACATAATAGTATTCGTATGAACGAATTTATAAAGAGCAACATCTAAAAATATGGGTAGAATTTTTAAGTCCATTTTTTTATATGCTCTATCTATTTTCTATTGTATTGTTTGCATTGCTGATTTTGTATTTTTGTTGTTGCTTACCTTGTGTTATTTCAAAAGTCGCTGTGAACTGACTTTCCGCGGCGAGTGTACCAACCGGAAGCCTCTTAACATTCTCGTCAAGATTTTCAATAATTCCGAAGTGCCAACGGTGCTCTCGGCAGCGAGATTGTTTCGCAGCACCTATTGAAGAAAATTCCACGTAACTCGCGTATGGATCTTCATGCAAATATCTGCGGATCTCCGAGAACAAGGACACGGGTGTAGCAACCGAAATGAATAGCAATTTATGGAAATGAGAACCGGCATAAAGTAGTCTGCAATAAACCGAGGAGTTGCCTTCGAGTTTCGTAGGTTCTAATACAACAGTAGATGCTCCCCGATATCCCGTTGACTGATATTTAAAATTTCGCCCACCAACGAATGATGATGTTCTGCGTGGTTTCGAAGGTCGCCGAGAGCCAGCGTAATCGCCGCGAGGGAAACATGAGTTCGTTGGACGGCCGTTGAGGGCGAGAACAGAGGAAAATGTGCGAGATCGCGAAGGGACAGCGCAGAACGTTCCGGGACCAGGACCCGCCACGAATATTTGACAGAGCCACAGCAAACAACGGTTTGAAGGAGGAGCTCGGCTTTTCGAAATCGACGCCGAGTTCGCCGACGATTCTGCAACGTGCCTCGAGCTTCGAGAAGTGCTCCAGCGAGCCGGAGATCCTCGAGAAGGACCGGCAGACAGGGAAAAAGGTGAAAGGAGATCCGCTCGGCCGGGAAAGTGCGTCGTCGTTCGATCCCGTTCGAGATGACACCGCCAAGGGACCCGGCAAGCGACACGACCTTCGCACCGCCGTGAACTTCTTGAACGAGCTAGCCGACAAAGTGCCTTCGTCCGGTCGCCATGATCACGAGGTGAGTTCGCACGGTCGATTCGAATTTCCCGCGGCACTGTTCCGGACCATTTTGAGGTTATACGCGATTTTTGTCACAATTCTAGAGGATCGTCGAATGGTTTATAATTTATTGCTTATTGTTCTAGAGTTCGATCTTTGAATTTGGAGGCGACTTTTGGTTTTTAGTTATCTGTGAACACAAGTTTATAGCTTTGGGAAATATCATTTTGATCATCTGCGAAGTTTATCGATGCTATTTAAAGGGATGATGTGTTTTCATTTAGAACATATACTGTGACCTTTATGTAACCTACGGCAATATCTTGGTGTTTCGAGAAATTTGATATTTATTAGAAAACTAATTTTCTATTCGAAACAACTAATAATTTGTGTTTTATCTAAATGTGATTAATAGACTGCGGACCTTTGTGTTCAATAAAAATTGATTTTTATTAATTTCAAGAAGTTGGAACTACGTAGACATTTTTAAGACATATTCCTTGTCTTAATCGTTTTAATATATATGGCAATATCTTGGTGTTTCGAGAAATTCGATCTTTATTAGAAAACTAATTTTCTGTTCGAAACAACTAATAATTTGTGTTTTACCTAAATGTGATTAATAGACTGCGGACCTCTGTGCTCAATAAAAATTAATTTTTATTAATTTCAAAAAGTTGGAACTACTGACACATATTCCTTGTTTTAATTATTTTAATGTGTTGACGGTAATACAGAAGTATTCTTAAATTTCTTCGATGTTTCCACCAGTTCCTATTACACGAATGCATAAAATCCGCGGTTCACTAGCGATTAGGAAATCCGTATTGCTTCCAAATCGAAATCTCTTGGACCGAAATCGTCGTATCCTCATCTCCGCTGCCGGAAATCCAGAAGATGACAGAACTTCGAGGATTCGTAGAAAGTTTCGCAACGCGTTTCCCGCGATGGACTAATCAAATTTCGGGAAATGAAATGCGTCTAAAAATGGTACTCAAGATGGGGGCAAGTCGCATCGATTCGGAGCGGTTTCGGGGGCAGCAACCTTGGACGGGGAAAGGGGAGTTTCATTTCAAGCACACACACACTCGCCAGGCGCTTCTGGAAAATTGCAACCGTTGCCGGATTAAAGAGATTTCTCGCGGCAGCGTACCATAAATCAGTGAAAGAGAGAGTCATTCACGGCTTCGAACGCAAGTCCGCGACGATTTACTTTGTCGTGGTCTCCGCGGCGAAGTATGATTAAAAATCGCTCGGCCGACGTCGTCCTTGATGCTGGACGACTGCTTTTACTTCTGCGGGCCGTTGAACGATCGCGTCGGATTAAATCGCGGCGCGTTACGATGCACTTTTACGAGGACCTTTCGCGATAATCATTTATCGAAAGTGTTCGCCTGTTTCTCTCGGTTGACCTTACGATCGAAGAGGACGAGCCGTATCTCTTCGGGCACGCTGTCACTCTTCTTCGTTATTTACGCGACGTCGCCGTATTTAATTCCGCTTGTAGCAAAAGGGTGTTTCGTTTTGATATCTATGTCCACTTCGATGATGTCAACAGCGTTTTATGTACTATTTCATGTAGGCAATTAACGCTGGGTTTACGGAACAATAAAAGTAACTATTTCGTATTATTTTGTAAAGGTGACAGTAATTTATTTCTTGTACATAGACATTTTTATTGTAATATTTGTCTGAAGTAACAAATTTAACTTTTACATTTTTAGTCATACTTAAACGAAAACTTAATAAAAATCATAGAATACAGGGATAGAGAATGCTTGTAAACAGGCAAAAAAATATTTAATTTTCAGTAACATCCGTCTTAAATTTATAATTGCGGCACTAGCGAATAGCTGGAATTCTTCCGATTAAAATGAGTCCAAACACGATGGAAATCGGACCACGTTTATCGAAGAACTATATACCGGGTGAACAAAATAACTTGATTTTGAATTAATAAATAATTTGATTTTTTAGTTCAAATGAGCGAATGTTATGCTAAACAGAAATTTTTCTCAAGGTCATACCTTACGCGATATGTTTTTTTTTAAATATTAGTACATATATGTTTTTACTATTATGGGGTCAAGATCTATCCAATGACCCATAATTAGTCACCAAAAAATATTTTGCTCTGACATTCTTTCAAAATATCAATGATAGATAAAATAATCAAAGCGTTCAAGTTATTTTGTTCGCCCAGTATATAGCTCTTCGATAAACGTGGTCCGATTTCCATTGTGTTTGGACTCATTTTAATCAGAAAAATCTCAGCTGTCCATTGATGCTACAATTTTCTTTATTGCACGTTTATTTGTTGCTGATCACGCTTCCTTTAAATGTCGAATGTCGACTCTCTCTTTGCTCGACATACTACGTTTATCTCGCTTCTGCTCGTTACGTTTGTTCCCTTATTTTGTCGAGCTATGCTCGCTCGAGTCGCTTCTCGGAAGGAAAAGATGACCCGTACACGTTTATGTTTGCACACGGTGGCTCTCCAATCCGCATAAATTTAACCGTGCGCCACTATATACCCCATCATCCGTAACATATCAATATTTATTTATTTAATTAACGCACCATATTATCGATACTGCCGCAGCAGGCTGACAGCATCCAAAGCGAGAAGGAAAATCTCCGTCGTGAAACGTTCGTCGATGGCAGCGGTGAACTATAGTACTCGGCCGCTTCCGTTCCCGAGATTCTCGGTAGCCCGTTATTTGCCGTGAAATCCGACGTGATTGTGTCGACCGCAGGGCCCTAAGATGAATTAGGTTCGGACCTGGAAGAGATGCGGGCCTCGGGCCCGTTGCAGGTTCTTTTCCATCGAATGCCTTCCTTTGTGCGGAATTCGATTTAAGTTGCATTCACACCGAGCCTTCACCCTCGGCCTGAAGGATTCTCCCTCATTTCCTCCCGTTGACTGGCGATCAAGTATTACGTTCTCGATTATCGTCCTGTCCGCTTCTAGGAACATTCAATCTTCTGTTAGACTCTCTATTTATCCCTTCTTTGCATTTTTCGATTTACTGGGATTTCAATTTTCTTTGCAACATTGCGCCGAGGGCGGATCTTTTCGATTCCTTTCGAGAAACTATTAACTTTTAAACTAACTAACATTTTAACTTTTGTTATATTTTTGGTAATATCTAAACGAAGACTTAACAAAATATCATATTCGTATATTTCTGTATTAGAAATAATAAAAAATAGAAATCTGTTATTGCTATATTAGAAATAAAAATAGAAATCGATTATTTTTGTATTGGAAATAACAATAGAGATCTATTATTGCTATATTAGAAATAAAAATAGAAATCTATTATTTTTGTATTGGAAATAACAATAGAGATCTATTATTGCTGTATTAGAAATTAAAATAGAAATCTATTATTTTTGTATTGGAAATAACAATAGAGATCTATTATTGCTGTATTAGAAATTAAAATAGAAATCTATTATTTTTGTATTGGAAATAACAATAGAGATCTATTATTGCTGTATTAGAAATTAAAATAGAAATCTATTATTTTTGTATTGGAAATAACAATAGAGATCTATTATTGCTGTATTAGAAATTAAAATAGAAATCTATTATTTTTGTATTGGAAATAACAATAGAGATCTATTATTTCTATATTACAAATATTATAACAAAAAATAGAAATCTATTATTGCTATATTAGAAATAAAAATAGAAATCTATTATTTCTACATTAGAAATAAAAATAGAAATCTATTATTTTTATGTGAGAATTTGAACGAGTTAACTGTGCCCTCAAAAAGACGAAAATTTCATTACAGTGTGTCGGTTACTGAGTTCATAACAATCTAAACTTTAAGACGGATTTTAAGAAAATGTTTAGATGTGTTGAACATTGTACTTATTTCGTATGAAAGTTTAAACAATTGCGAAGATCTCCATGTAAATTTCAAGTGCTATCCGCAACTTTGAAAATCACGCGAATTTTAAGAAATATGTATATGTGCCCGCAATACCAGAGCGCTCGGTGAAGCAGTGAAATTTTAAACAATTTTTCATACTTATATAAACAACATCAACATATCATTCGAATGTATTAAGAAGTGCGCAACGAAGTTATTAATCATTTTTAAACCTCGGACGGCAATTCAATGGGCACAGTAATTGGCACACTTACCTTACTGGAAAAGAAAAATTCAACGAATCACAATCACATTACGATCATCGACAAGCTTTCCTATACATCAACGTTTCTCGTCTAAGAAGTTCAGAGATCGGAAAAAAAATCGTACCCTAATTAATCACAATCGTACTATAATTATCAGCAGGCTTTCCAACGTCGTCGTGCTGCAGATCGTTTCCCGTCTAAGAAAGTCTGTTGCCTCCGAGGACCGTGCTGGCGAACAGTATTTCATCTTCTGAGGCCATTAAGTCTTCCGAGAGACGGTAAAACGATGTGTAACCGCGCGCATAAAATTAGCCAATGACGTTGCGTAGACAATTGGGACGATTGTCGAGTACGGGCCGCCATGTTTACGGCAGGCTGCGAGAGCTCCGTCCATCCCGAGCGGACTGCAAATAGCTGTGTACAATGCGAGCATGTGCGGAAGTACGTAAAGATCTTCAGGGAAATTAGCTGCGAATACACGCTTGCATCAGAGGCGCGCGGGGCCATTGACCTGCTACGTTAAAATATTGACGAGGAACCTGCTATTTCGGGTACCGGGTAACTACCGACTACCGCCGACTACAGCCGCGAAAGACCACTTGATAAATATTTAATCGTCGTTCCGCCGATTACCAACCGACGAGCGAAATTTTAATCGTCTCGTGAATCGACTGGCGTTGGCGGACTCCTTCGACATAGTCCTGATGGTCAATGGCCATCCACCGAATCTGCGATTTTACACCTGTGACCAGATTCGACCGTCGATTACCGATACTCTGTCGATACCTAATTGATAATTAACAATATATCGATACGCTATTGATACTTATTACTTAGATATCGATACTTAACAGTATATCGATATCTT